AACTGATAGGAATTGAGAGAATGAAGATGGAATTAGTGGGACCCATCAATACTTTTTATTATTTTGTTGACCCACTATCATTTTACTCTCTTTCTCTCTCATTCATATTTCATTTCCCAAAATAAAACAAACATATTACATTATTCATTATGGTTAAAAGTGCAATTCATTTCCATAGTTGTAGGAATTATACCAAACACTAGAATTGGAAATGGAATTCTATAAAAATAAAAAATTGAATTCCATTTCCATTCCCATTTCTTCCGGAATTGTATCCAAACAGGCTGTTACAGCATACATGACTCCAAGCTAGCATCACAAATGTTGAATTCCATTTCCATTCCCATTTTCACTTAGCATACATCACAAATGTTGGAACCCACAATTAATTAAGACTAGCTAGGTTAGTAACAACCAACATGACTCCAAGCTAGCTACCATCAGAGTATTTGGTTCTCTCCTTATCTCCGTCCTAAAAATTATGTTTACCGAATATTGTTTGATAGATGTCCATCTGAATGACGCATTTAATGAATGTATGTATGGTGTAAAATATACTATTCTGTGTAACAAAACAAAACACAAAATATACATTGTTGATTTCCATTTAAAACTCATTCATGATATAAAATCTCAACGTGTTGAGATGGTTGAGCCATTTTTCCTTTTCTTTTATCACCCTTTCAACATCTATAATTAATATGGTTGACCTTTATCTAAAAGCAAGTTTAAAAATTACAATTTTTTTTCTTTCTTTAAATAATAGTTTTACAACTTATTCCCAAAACTATAATCACAACCACAAAAATCTTAAAATGCATCTATTAACATAATACATACGATGCACCAATGTTAACCAAGTATATGTGTTTTAGGCAAGGATTAAAATACCCTACCGGTGGTTCGACTTGAAAAACCTCTCACTGGAAGCAAAATCGGTAGGCGGTATTTAGCGGTATAATATGGTTGAACCATGGTTAAACCACGGTTTTAGCATAAAATACCCTACCGCTGACTTTTCCGGTACGATCTTCGGTATGATATTTCAATTCTTGGTTTTAGGCTCAACTGGTATTTGCAATGGTTAATATTGATGTATTCTATAAATGCATGCATTATAAATTAATGTATTGGTTAAATCGTTGCATTCTAAAATTACGATGTTTAATTGTATTTTAAGAGATAAAGTTGGAAAGCCACTTTTTGAACGAAAGCTCTTACTTACCCTTCCTTTTAGGTATTAAAGTCAATCATGTATAAAAAGAAAATTGATTCACAATCTCTACAATCTCACCAAACAGTTGATTGTCGGAAAATAAAAAATACGGTGGAAACTGTTCTGTATTATTACTGAAACCATATAGGGTTTATATAAAGTACAAAGATTGACTTCTACAATAACCCTAACACTAATACGAAAATTACTTAACTTCTACGACTTTGATAAGGAATATAACTCTGTCAAATTACATAACGATACTCGCAGTATAAGCACATGGTATTAGAGCCTACTGTGAGTGAAAGGTCTCCTGCTCGATTCCTGATGACCCCAATCTGTCTCTGTTAAGCACATGGTGTCCGGATCTATGCATGTGTAAACTCCAATCCTATCTGAGTGGCTTGAGCTTGAGGGGGTGTGTTAGTACACAGTATATGATCCACAATTGAACCTCTTCCAACAACTCGAGTTATTGGGATCAACTGGTTCTTGACATTGATATTCTAAATCATTCAATTGAATTCTCGTCTAAAGAAAAACAGACAATGAAATAAAAAATTCTAAAAGTCTAAAACGTAAAAGTCTGCAAGAAATATGAGGTTTGGTCGCTTGAAAAATAACTAGAGCAGCAATGAAATCCTGCTCGATTCCCGATGACCCCCATCTGTCTCTGTTAAGCACATGGTGTCCGGACCTATGCATGTGTAAACTCCAATCCTATATGAGTGGCTTGAGTTTGAGGGGGTGTGTTAGTACACGGTATATGATCCACAATTGAACCTCTTCCAACAACTCGAGTTATTGGGATCAACTGGTTCTTGACATTGATATTCTAAATCATTCAATTGAATGATGCATACATTCAAATGTCACATCAACAATCAAACCGCATACATTGTGGTTTATTTTGAAAAGAAAAAATGATACATATTCACCACTATACATTGTTTATTAAGTACACCGTTTAGATATGCTTCTAAAAAACAACCCTAGTGTCTATTATATGTATGTATGCTTGATGTTGAGGTATCTATTTAGTGTGCTGCATTGGCGGATCCAGGGGTGGCCACCCCGGCCCCGTCCCAGCCCTTTGTTGGATCCGGAGTTAATATAGTCCATGTGAGTGTATCGATTTTAGCTATTCGGTCCAATGTTATTTTATAATCAAATTGTCTATAATTAGGAAAATAGATCAAATAAACATATTCAAATCACAACTCTAAATTTAACCTAGAAATTGTAGCTCCAGTGATTCTCGTCTAAAGAAAAACAGACAATGAAATAAAAAATTCTAAAAGTCTAAAACGTAAAAGTCTGCAAGAAATATGAGGTTTGGTCCCTTGAAAAATAACTAGAGCAGCGGGTGGAAATATCGAAATAGGGATAGACACACAATACAAATTGATTAGCTGATTGATTTGTCTAGTATTGACATTGGTCGTTTCAACAACTACTATGGAGAGAATCTTTTCAACAATGGAACAACTGAAAAATGATTTTCCAACAATCCGAGGGATTTATTTTGTTGCCGATTGGTTAACTATTTTATTTGAAAGAGAGTAGCAGGGGCGGAGCTACTCAAAGAGTAGGGTGGGCCCCGGCCCACCCGGGAATAGTCTCGGCCCCTAGGACCGTAAGAATTTTGGATAAAATTTGGATAAGTAGTGCTCGACCTATACATTATATCATATCATAATTATCTAGTCTAATGGTAGTTAAGCTAAACTTTTAGCCTAAAAGAAACAGGTTCGATCCACAAGAACCTCATTTTTGCTTTAAGGATACCCACTCTTTTTCATTCTTTTTGTTACTTTAATCCAGCTACAAATGAAAAAATCAACCTCTGTTTAGTTCACTTGGGATTTATAGCTCTTTATACAAACTATATGATCTATTTTTTATCTATGTCGGAATGAACATAATGATTAGTGTCAAAGGAATTTTATTTTGTTGTTAGGTTGATTTGTCTTCTTCTAACTCTTACAAATTTCTAAAGCTATATGTGATGGTGCATGTTTTTAGGTATAAAGATAGTGAAGAATAGATTGTGAAACCAAATAAATGATGAGTTTCTTGTTAATGATTTATTTATTTATATTGAAAGAAAGATAGCTAAATTTTTTAGTTCAGATGCTATTTTGAGAGATTTCAATGATCTCAAAGAACGTTGTAGAATTTAAAACTAAATATTTAATTTTTAATTACATTTATCTATTTTCGGCCCACCCGGTCTCGAAATCCTGGCTCCGCCCCTGGAGAGTAGTATGTTATTGGTATGGATGTAGACTCCATTATTGATGAATTCGTTATATTAAAATATCAATGTGCACAATCGATATTGTAAAATAAACTACGATTTTTTTATGGTATTTAATTTTCTAATGAAATGCGGCTGATACTCTACTTTATCCTGGATCCGCCGCTGGTGTGCTGAAAGTGAAAACTTGATCGATAAATCATTTCGAGATTTCCTTGTCATTACGTTTAAATCATACTAATGCTACGTACTGTTGGGATCGATGTACAATACTTGATCTTGTCTTGTGGCCCTTAATTATATACATACATAGTCCTATATATACATGCATTTTCCCTCGTCAACATGCTCGATCCTATTCCTAAACCATTTTGTCGTACGTGGAGTGCCGACAAGCAAATTAATTAGTTACGTTAGTCTTCCACATCGGGGCTAACCATTTTAGTTGCAAACTAAAACGATCATGTTATGAAATATTAACACGTCATCCTATTTCTAATCATCGGGAGAGAGAGAGAGAGAGAAAAAAAATCTTCATGTGACATTAAATTAAATTATTATTTATACGCGCGTGTAAAATGTGTGGAATGACTTTAATCGGTGGATAAGTCCTGCGCTGAGCGCTGACCAGTTCATAATAAGCTCATCATCATCATCCATGAGTTGACTGGCATATATATATGCATCCTTTGTTGCTTTTGCTCTTCACACGACACGTACTCGATCGTTTTGTTTTGTTTTTTTTTTATATGATCACATACATACATATCTATCTACAGTAGCCAGCTAGTGCACCGTATAAATGCAACCCAACCTTATTGAAATGCAACATCGATCATATATCAGTTTACAGATGTGTTGGGACTGTTCTGACATGTCGTTTTCCAGATCTTCCTTCTCCCCCTGTACTGTGTGTAAAGGGAGAAAGCTCATCCGAAAAGGTGCATGAATGGTAGAATTCATTCTGGAAATGGGCTAGTCGATCCATTAATTGCATGATACTGGACCGAGCCACACCAAACTTGTAAGTGCTGCATTGGGCCCAGTCCATGTAGTAGTTGCTGGCCTGCTGCTGCTTCAGCAAGAAATCGTTTATAAACTCAAGGGTAGTTTGGATGGGGGGATTTGTGTGAAGTATTTCAGTCCAAATTTCTCCGTTTTGAAGGGGACGAAAATTAGAGATTTTAAGATCAAAGGGTTTTGAAAACCTGCATACATGTCGGATTTTGAAATGGAGATCAATTATTTTGAAATTCGACACTAACTTATCCATTCGTCGACAATCTGTCTCTGCTTTCTTTCTGTCATTTTACCCTTACCCTCATTCGACTCTAATTTGTTGGACCAAACCGTGCACTCAACCTACCCTCTTCATTCGAGTTAGTAGTTCACTCGACCATTCCTCCAACTCTCATCAACAAGACGTTAGTCTCCATCCTACACTCTCCATTGTGGGAATTTGAATGGCCTGAGGCCCTGAAAGGGTGAGGAATTAGTTAAATTTTGGTGTTGGGCTCTCTTATCCGGTTTTCGGTCTGGCCACGAACGAATTTTTTTTTATCTCAAATCTAAATCCGAAGATGAAATTGGATTGTTTACTATCCGGTCCCAGTCTGATATCGGTCCGGATTATACGGTTCGGTTTCGAATAAAACCAAAAAGCCCAGACCAAATAGCTATTTGAAGAGTAGAAATTAGACCATATACTAGCTAACCTATATATGTATATGCTCGATATATCGCTAGCTTAAAGGTAAACACGATGAGCTAATGATGAATGGCAGCGTGGAAGAGCTGGTGGAGGGTGTAAGGTCCGACAATGGCGAGGGGAGAGGTCTTGGTGATGGTTGAAGAAGGAGGAGGAGTTGGATTCCAGATCTCACGAGCCATTTGGTGGTAAGCAGTGTCAGTGAGGTGAAATGAGTCCCAGAAGAGGTATTCAGTGGGATTGTTGCAGACCTCAAACTCCTTCTTCACACTTCTCTTCCCTCCGCAGCTGTCGATCCCTCTCCACTTCCCTGTCCCGCAGCACGCCTCTTCTCCTTCCTTCAACCCTGCAACTCACCGATATCATCAATAGGGTTCATAACAAACCATATCTATTTTCTATTCATCGCATTCCACTAGATGATCACTGGCTGGGGCGAACCTAGGTTAAGAGGAGGTGTATACCGTCGAGAATTCGGTGAAAAATCCATGTTTCGTCATTTTAAAGGATATCTAACACACCTATGAATTGAAATTCTAATTGACACATCTGTTGTAATTGCAAGCAGTGAATCTTTTTTTACTTGAAGCTGATATAAAATTATATTCGAAATCATATTAGTGACCAATTTATCGATGATTATTGGGTTGTACCACCAAATAAGTAAATATAACCAACCATTAGCTAGCTTTAGTGTAATTTGGGATTCGTTTGGAAGCTGTGATTCTTCAAATTAATGTATTGAGTCAATTAGTCTATTATTATTTGATGTATTAGGATAATACTATTTTTGGAGGTTTAGATTATGTTTTTTTTGTAAAACCACAAAAGTAAATTTTAAGTGATATCACTAATGAGACCCCAAAAATATTAATACATGTATTCTAGTTCAATATAAACAAAAAAAAATTAATTAAATCTCACAAATACTTAAATTAGCTCAATACACCATTTAAACTCACAAATTCCAAACATTTGAATTCAACAAACGGTTGAATGATAAATATCTAGGGCTGCCAAACGGTTTTGCGGTTACCGGTTAAACCGGTTACCGAAAAAAATGGTGAGCGGATGCGAAGTTTTGGCTGGCGGTATGCCGGCACCGGGCTTGCAGTTTACCGACGGGTTATCGGTAATCCGACATCGAATGGGAAAGGGTTTTTTCAAGCGTGCGCGCAGATCGGCAGCCCTGACTGTATTGGAGAAAAGTAGAAAACCAAACGGCGGCCACCCCACCCTAAAAAAGCCCAGCACCCCAACCCTAATTTCATCCCATGTCCCTGACGCCCTGACTGTAGCACGACCAGTCGACCACGAACGAGTCCACGACCACGACCGTCGACCGCCGATCCCTCCTCCTCCGTTCACTTCATCGTCGTTGACTCTTGGCTCCTTGCTGTTTCCGTCGAAGCCAGCCGTCGAGTTTCTCCAGGCTCTGTTTCCGGCAAATCCAGACTCTGTTTCCGGCAAGTTCCTCCCATCGCCGCTCCGCTGTCCGTTGAACTCCGTGAGACCGTCGCCGTCTCCGGTCTCCGTCCATTGTAGAGGTAATCTTCTCCGGTTCGGCTGTGATCCCTTACTTTCGTCGCCGTCGCTAGCCGTCGCCGTCTCCGGTCTCCGTCCCTTCTCCGCTGTGCTGTGATCCCTTACTTTCGTGAAGTGAAACAATGAAATTCAAATTCTGTTGCCTACTAAGGCATTTGTGTTATTAGAGACAAAAAATTATGGTTGTCGGTTGATACCATTGGGCATTGGACATTGATTGATCGTTTCGTGGAGAACGAGGATGAGGGGAAAGACGGAAAGTTGTCGTCCTCGTCCATGACCATTACTCCATTAGCCTATATAAATTAATAAATGGACAATTGGGATTTGGGAAAGCTGTCAACAGAGCTTGACGACACGACAGAATGTTAATTCAATTGTTTGATACTATAATTGTCATTTGTCAATACTCAATTGTCATTGAATAATTGATGAAGCAAATCAAGTAATTTAATTCAATTATTTGATTATTAACTAATAATTACTAATTAGTTTGCTTTAATTTTCATTTTTGCAGGTTTACATAGCAGAGCCGAGCACAGCCCCTGATCCCAGCATAAGAACTTTTGTTGTTTTGTGCTAATTTATTTACTTGAGAAACCAAGTACAAAAATGTAAGATTTAAGATAGTTGTTTAATGGTTTAATTTTTTACATGTTGGCAATTTTATGGTTTTTAATTTTTTACATTTTTTCTTCTTGTTGTAGGACGAAATCTTCTCCTCGTCCTCGTAAAGGAGATGCTCCGAAAAAAGGTGGTTCCATTCCTCCTCGAACCACTTCCAAAAAAGTGGGTGCTCGTCTTGGAGCTGCAGAAGGGATTCAAGGGAATGTCTCTTCTAGACCTAGTACACCTACACCTACCACTACCAGTGCCATTACATCTCCACCACCTGCTACTGTACCTCCTGCAGCTGCCACGCCTACACAGTTGACTGGTATGGGAAGGGGAGCAGATGAAGTGGGTGAGGCAAAGAAAATTGTGAAGGTGACAAAAAGGAAGAAGGAGTCCCCGTGGTGGACTCCTTATGATGAGGTTCTGGTGGATGACTACCCATATGGCAAATGCAAACAATGTGGAACGTTGATCAAAGCTCACTCGACCAATAACGGGACTTCTGGTTTGAAGCAACATCACTTGGCATGTGAGAGGAAGAGGAAGGAAGCCAATGGTTAATCACTATTGAATTATCAACCTGGGGATGGTGAGGTAGGCTCTCTTACTCCATGGAAGTTTGATCAACAAAGAGCTAGAACTGCATTAGCTGTTATGATCATCTTGGATGAGCTGCCATTTCGCTTTGTTGAGCATGAAGGGTTTAAGAGATTTATGGCGGTAACCCAACCATTGTTTATGATAGCTGGAAGACAGACAATTAGGCAGTATTGCTATATAATATTTTTGGAGAAAAAAGTGTTGCTATATGAGTTCTTCAAATCCAAGTGCAAATGAAGAATTTCTATCACCATAGATACATGGACTTCTGATAACAACCAGAATTTCATGTGTGTGACTGCTCATTTCATTGGGAGTGACTGGAAGCTGCAGAAGAGGATCATTAGCTTTGTTCCCATCACTAGTCACGCAGGGAAGGACATTGCAAAAAAATTGGCAGAATGTCTACAAGATTGGAAAGCACAACAGTTGTTCTCCATTACCATGGATAATGCTTCTTCTAATAATGTTCTTGCAGAGAGTATGAGAACAAAGATGAAAGAGTGGGGAACAGATTTGATTGATGGGAAATATTTGCAATTTCGATGTGTGGCACATATAATTAATTTGGTTGTGTTGGATGGGTTGAAGGAGGTTGGAGTTGTTGTAGAAAGGGTTCGAGATTGTGTTAAATGGGTGAAGTCATCACCAGGTAGAAGTGCAAAGTTCAAATCTGCCATTGATTATCTATCAATGGATGGAAGAATACTTCTATCTTTGGATGTTCCAACTAGGTGGAACTCAACCTATTTGATGTTGGAATCTGCATAAAGGTTTGAGACTGTCTTTAACTTCTTGCATGCAAGCCCCAATGATTCTGCATTTCGGGATTATGTGGATTCAAAGAGAGGTCTTCCAACTAAGGAAGATTGGAGCGGTATTCGACGGCTAATGAAGTATTTGAAGATCTTTTATGAGCTCACCTTTCGGGTATCAGGTATGTGAACAAACATAACTCCACCTATTAAAATTCATGGTTTTTAATTTTATTAACTTGTAAATTGTAATTACTAATTACTAATTTGTGAATAATTTGTTGTTATTTTTGGATGTATTAGGAACATCTTATGTGACTGCTCATACTTTCTTCAAGGCTATTGCTGACATCTATGAAGTGATAGAACTTTTTAAGAAAGACATGGACGTAGAGATACAACGGATGGCAGCAAGAATGGAGGCAAAGGTACGAAAGTATTGGTTTGAGAATGAACTGAATGATGATGATGATGATGACGAGGTGGAGAACCTAAGGATAAATAGGCTGGTTTACATGGCTTGTGTGCTAGATCCAAGGCGTAAAATGGCTTATTTGTATTGGATGTGGGGTAAGATGTATGGGCAGAAGAAAAGAGACGATTTGGTGAAAGATGTGACTGCAGAGATGACTGCAATATTTGAGGTTTACAGATTGAAGTATGCACCTAACCCTCAGAGCCTACTGTTACCACTCCTAGTGCTGATGATGGTACTGGATCTGCATCTTATGGAGGGACATTTGATGTTGAATTCTTCAATATGAGAAAGGAGCAACTACAGAGGGGGATTCGAGGTTCTTCTGAGCTAGATATTTACTTAAGAGATGTTGATGATGCTATTAACGGGGAATGATAATGATATGAAGTTTGACATCTTGCTGTGGTGGAGTAAGAACAGCGTTAGATATCCTATTCTTTCCTAGATGGTAAAGGATATCCTAGCTGTTCCAGTCTCCTATGTTGCCTCAGAGGCTGCTTTCAGTTGTGGAGGTCGAGTGCTCAGTCCGTTTAGGTCTTCGTTGAGCCCCACCATTGTAGAGGCCTTGATTTGTGCTGAAGATTGGATAAGGTATGAAGGAGGAAAGAAAGCAGACAAAGTTGATGATACAGAAGATGAAAATCAAGACCAAATCGATTATGAAAGTGGTAAGAATTCTTAATTTCATTTATTTTTAAGTTTTCCATTACTCAGTTTCTGATTACATATTATTAGATGAATTCTAAGTTCTAACAATTTGTATTTTTTTTTTACACTTAGTCACTACTAATTTCCAAACTCGAATGGAGAGTGCTACTGCCAAGCCAAGTGAAGGTGTCAAACAAAGTTTACTTGTTGTGGTGGAGGAGGAAGATTCAGACGAGGATGAGGAGGACCAGGACGAGGAGGATAATGGTGATGATAACCTTCGCACCACTTTGAAGCAGCAAGGTTTTGTTGATGTTGGTGGTACAAGTCCTAGTGGCAAGTGAGGAACTAGTAATTCTATTTTTTATCTTCATGTCTTCGAATTTAATTTAAACATTTAGAAGCAGCAGACCAGATTGCTCTATTTGCTCTATTTGGAATTCTACGTACTACGTACAACTATAATGCTATATTTTTTTTAGTATTTTCATTTTTCAATTTGATGTTTGCAATTTTTGTTAGATTTTTTTTTGTTTTTTTTAATTAATTAGCCGACTTTTCATTTTGGCTTTGTGCCCCAAATTTACAAACAATTACTAATTGGGTAATATAGGAGCAATAAGATTTCGTCTTTGTAACTGAGCAGAACATGAAACCTTTTCTCTTTTGTTTTATATGGACTTATTATTATTACTGTATGTTGTTCACTTGTTTGTAATTTTGTATTGCTAAGGAAAGGTTTGAATCCGATGCGATAAGGTTCATTTGGAAATTGGAATGGTTGGCCGCAAGTGATATTTGGGGCGGTGACAGCTGACAGGGAGTCAGAGCCTCAGAGGGACAGGCGGACAGGGAGTCAGAGGACAGAGGGACAGGCGCCAGTTTAAATTAATGATACAGAATCGGGAATTCGGGATGCACCTCTCTTACTGATACCGTGGTGAATCGGTAGTCGGCATACCGATGGGAGACCGGTATCGGCGGTCGGAGAGCTTTTAGGGAGTTCTGGTAATACCGAAACCGGTATTACGGTAAACGGTAAACCGGTTACCGTGCCGTTTAGCAGCCCTAAATATCATCCTGTTAAACTCGTTAAAATGCTCAAAACTTAATTAAAGCAACTAGGCAACTTATTGGCTCATTCACCCCACTTGATTTTAATTATATTCTAACAAATCCTTTCTCTCTCTTTTAAGTTTTAACTTACTTGAATACTCTAATAATTCTATGTTTTACAATCATGATGAAAGCCTTAAAATTAGCTTTTGCGCCTTTTCTTTTTGGTTTGATTGGGGGCTTTTTGGACATGTCCAATCAAGTAACAATCTATATGGGCCATGCACACTTCCAAAAGGGAAGTGAGACAATTTTAAGGCAGCCCAATAATTGATCCTTTCTAGTGTGTTCTTTTGTTATTTTTAGTAATGCAATCCCATGGGCCAGCCGAGCCGAGACCAGTCAGACAGACCACCACACTCAGCCCTCAAAAGTCAACAATTTCACCGGCCCACCAATCAAGTTAAGGCAAAAAGCACGAACCAACTGTGAACTATTAACTTTGTAAAACGTACCGTAGTTGGAAGGATGGGTCATCCTGCGGTGCAAACTGGTGCTGAAATCAAACAACGAATACTTGAACCCTTTCAGCTCCCTGGCCAGCCGAGGCAGAACCACCGTCGAAAGTCGAGCATTGTGCAGCTTTGCCAGCTCCGAAACCTGCTCCTCGTAGCACTTCCCATTAGGGTTCTTCATCAGCAGCCTCATCGCAGGCAGACATCCCAACGTCGGCACATTCATGAACACAAACTTCCTCCCTCCCATATCATATATGTCCTACACATTACCCCATCCAAACAAACAAGTTACATTGGCAAGAAATTAAGGACAGAGTGGAATCAATGCATGATGAAGATGATGGTGGCACTTTACTTTGACAACTGCTGTCAAGTTGGCGAGCACCATGGCTACAAATCTGGAGCTGGAGGTGTGGAAAAGGAGTGAAGACGAGGAATTGGTCAGGAAAGGGCTCATGTAGTCATTGCTTCCAATGCTGAACATGTACACTCCTCCTGATATCTTTGCATCCCTTTCCTCCTTGCCCAACTTGTTCCTCAACCCTTTCCCCACCTTCTTCATGTTCCCCAGCTGCGTCTGCAGATCAATCACCTGCAAGAACAATAAACCATGTTTCACATGCCTGATCGATTGAAAAGCAATGGAGTTTGCTGGAATTGTAACTCTGTAGATTTGGGGCTACTGCACCAACCAACCAACCAATGGGAAGTCGACAACAAAGGGAGGGTGTTCCCATTATGGTGGTGGTGGGGTTTTTGGAGCTTTACACATAACATTTGATTTGGATGTGTCGAGCACGCGGCTAACAGTCCACAGCCCAGCCGCACACCCAATTGGAGCAGAGTCAGTGGACCAGAAGATCCCTTTCGAAAGTGTTTTGGGTGCAGATCGCCTGCGGATCCATCCACCCACCCAGCCTCCAAAATCCCATGATTATAGTTGTTTATATTAGTAAACAATGCTAGAAGTCTCTGGTCTACTTTCAACCTATTAACCCACATAATTAATTTAATTCTCCCTAATCATAATTATTGCAGGCGGGAATGTTGAAGATCATCAAGACAAATCTTCTTTGCCGACATGGCCCATGTCGGGGACGACCGGGAAGTACTACCATGAAGTTTCTTGTTTGATCATCATGATAATGGAACTGAATTAACGCGCTAATTACCAGACAAGGGTGTTAAAACAAACTAACCACTTCTTGATCCCAATAACTCGAGTAATTTTTTACACGCCTCTTGAACGGAAGCTGATGCCGAATTGTGGATTTGTACCGTTTCCACAGGTTGAACCTTGTGCTCCTAAACTACTGAGGTTTTAGTTTGCGACATCGCCTTTTAATCTCTTACAAAAGGGATATTTAATTATGACAAGCACACTTACATCTCCTTGGAAGGTCTCGACGAGAGCGCCAGCTCCGGCGGATGCAAAGTTGGCTCCCATGGCCATATCGTTGATGTTGTTGCCAGGTTTTAGGAAGGGTGGAATCAGCGGCAGCTTCGCGTATTTGGCTATAAACGTAACAAAGTAAAACGAATTATGACCCTGACCTTGTAAGTGAATTGAGTAAGGTAAATGGAGATAACAGAGTAGAGAGGGACCAATGAAGTCCGGGAGCAAGCGGCCGTCGGAGAAGCGGCCGGTGGGGAAGTTGAAGAAGGTCCGGCCGTAAGGTGGGAAGTTGGCCTGGTCTAAGGTGGTGGTGTTGATGTAGTTGTTGTTGCCGGCGTCCAGGAATGAGTCGCCGAATATGAAGAAGGCCACTCCGCTACTACTACTACTACTCTGTTTTCCCCTGCCACCAACAACATTATTCTCTGCTCTGCATCTGCTGCTTGCTGTGACGATGACAAGCAGAAGCAGAAGGAGAAGTTGTGGAGATAAAGAAGGATTTGGCTTTTCCATCAGATTGGAAATGAAGGAGGAGTCGAGAGAGAAAGATGGAGAGGCGATATGGAAGGAGGTGGAGGGGGTGAGCGCATTAATCAGCAAGTTGTCGCCATGCAGACAGCGAGATGGATAGAGAGAAAATGGAGCAGCCTGCTGTGATAATGGTGGTGTGGCTATCTCGATGCAGGATTGGAATCTTTATATAAGTGTGTAGGCTAGTTCCTTCTTGGGACACTCTGTCCCCTCTTTTCATGTCACATATCTTTAGAGAGGCTAATTCTTTCTAGCAGATTAAGTGAAGACATTGTAGGGTATGCTGGTATTACCCTTGACTTATTATTAGGTTTATGTAGGGATGGCAAGATAATCCATCACCGCGTGGGTATTCCATCTGAATCGATTTTTATTGGAGAAAATTCAACTGATATTATTTTGAGTGGATTTTCAGTCCGAACCCGATAAGGAGGGTAACGAGTTTGGTGCGGTTTTGGCATTTTAAGTATTCGCACCAAAACCATCCGAATATGTGTTGTATCTATGTAGTAGAGACGCACTCTGTTTAACACTTCGGTAATCCATGTCTCTCAAATATTTTGATTGTCTCTTAGGCCTAAAATCTTGCCCATTTTCCATCAGTTTTATAAACAATGTGACAAAGATACTCAATTAACATTGACTTTCAAAGGAAACTTTTAGATTATATCAGAAAGTTCTTATATGATTGTTCGGAGATGGTGCAGGTGGTTTTTCCCCGAGGTAGATACTAGTCGGTTTTGGTATGTCATATGACACCCCCACATAACTTTGATTATGTGGATGGTTATGATTTTAAAACCGTAGTTCGGAGATATAAGAAAAACGACCCCATCTGATCTGAACCCGTTGCCATCTCTAGTTTTTGTACCTCTTGGGAATTAATATAACAAAGCATTAAGGCAAGATATTGCGCAGTACTGGGGTGTATGAAAAGAAACGTGAGGAGATGTTTTCCTAACTTATGCAATATAGAAAGTGGTGTAAACTTGAGGAGCATACGTAAGCTACTTGTGATCAATGTAGTGATAATTATACTGCAAAACTGTGGGGGAAAATGGGAAGTCAACTTCAAAGGTCTATTCTGCCAGGAAATGAAGAAGTTGATTGTTCCCACATTACTTTACTTACTGGTCTCCTATATGCACTTGTTTCCCACAAGTGCATATAGGAATGAGAAATAGTCGTATCTCGGATCCTTTACTTGATTTGGTAGGTTTTGGAGTTTGGAACAGCCTCAACTGGGATATACTTAATCAATGTGTACATTGATTATACAACGTCATTAATTAGCAACTTGATACATGATCAAGATAGGATGGAAGATACATCATCTCGTCTGTCCATCCATCCATCCATCACATTGGTTGGTCAATACCAGATCATATGTTGTCAAATTGCAGAGTGATGATTCTCTTGTTGGAAAGATTAGGAGTCCCTTGTTAGCGCCGTAATAATCCAATCCAGAAAATATTAAGTGGGCTGGTCTCAGCTCGATCGACCCTCCACCATACCATTGATGTGTCGAGTGTGAACTCTGTATCTCAAAACCAACAAAGTGCCCTGTTGTGTCTCTTCTGCTGCTCTTTCAGATGATGGCAGGCGGAAGGAGAGACAGAAATGAAACATCATATACATCATTACAACGTTGGCCCATTACGTTACATACTCAAATCACCTAACAGTTATCAAAATGAGATCAGGTCGAATACCTAATCAGTAATGTATAAACATCCTATAACATTCATTAACTAGGTATAACAAGGAGATACTTAGATCAGGACAGACAGGCTGAGTTGTTGAATAGAGTTGTGTGGTTCATACGGTCTCACCACTTGAGTTTAGATACATGCTTGCTTGCTTGCGAAAGGAAGAGACCATTTTGGATGTTTGACAGGATTTTCAACGAACAACCCATTAGTGTAGTGTAAATGCCATCAGTTCACTCGTTAAATTGTTGGGCCTCTTTCTTACCCATTCATCCCATCTCCAATGTAGGCTGTGCAACTCACTACCACCTAAAATGCCCTATTGGACCTTGGGCCCAGACCAACATCCCTATGCTACCGACTAAAATTCCTGCTCCGCGAGCTGTAAGAGAGGAATCTATTCTAGACAGCAGGAGGACTGACTCCTCTGGACTGGTTTTGGTTTATGTGGCATTGGCAACTTGCCATCATCAACAATGAAAATCAAAATGAACCAAATAATGACGCCCGCCCTGGCGCCCTCCACCACCGCGAAGGGCAGGCCCACTCTGCAATCGCATTCTTGTCTACTCACATACTTTGGAGTCTTTCCCACACACGACACAGGCAGATGAACAGATTCCAAGTCATCAGCAGCCACAAAAAAGATCGACGGCCAACAGACGTACTTATGTACTCCAATGATGCTGCATGGATACATCGCTGGCGCCAACGTGACGGCAGCAGAGCCTCCACCTCCACCTCCACCACCGCCCTGCCCACCCTTCCCCGCCTTCCAATGCACTGTTATTATTGTGCCGCAGAGGGAAGCAGATGCAGAGCCACCAACCACGACGACGCCTCGCCAGTCCTACATCGTGCCAGGCACAAATGGTGACTAGACTCATTTTTCCATTCTTCTTCTGGTAGCTTCTTCTCCCACCTTCAACTTTTGACCATTTCCCCTCATTCATCTTTTTTACTTTTACCATCCATCATCTTCAACCCTCTTGCCTGTGCTGCTGCTGTATGCAATGTACCACCAAACCCAATTCTCAGCATCTCTCCCAAGTCCTAACCAGTAACCACCTTTCCTCCTTTCTTGACACGTTTTCTTTACTACCTACTTTCTTCCCCATTCAACTTTCACCTCCTTCAAACTAAACAGGCTCAAAAGTCTACCCCTTTGCCCCCTCTTTCCAATCCTCTCCCCTGTTTCAGCAAAGATAGGAACAAGAAAACGAGAGGGGGCAAAATCAAAATTCGAAACCCCCCTTCTCATCTCATATACAGTTGCATTTGCAGCAACACATTTTCCACAGGGAATAATGAAAGCAGCATTTCATTAATAACCACGTTCTGGAACAACGAAAGAACTAGTTAGACATTATGGTCTCTTCTCTCAGTTAGGTAGGAGACCATTGACATGAAGGGAAAATGGTTCAGAAGCTTCATAATGCTCTTCTTCTCTACCTTCCCAACATCACAGACAGACCATGCACCACATAGCAGTCAAATTACATTCAGGGATCATATTCATTCAACATCTTGGAAAATGTCTTTCTTTCTAGAGATAAAAGGCAGCTTAGCAGAACAGCATCAATAGTCATCTATATACTACAGTACTCTTGCACAAAAAGCTCCAGGTGCGACGACACAGAAACAAAACGGACGACTCCTCTTACATTTGCCTTACGCAGGTCCAGCCTGACTTCTTTCCTTCTTTCACCTCCCACACCAAACTCCACTGCAATATACAAAAATGTCACATTACAAACAGATATGGACATGGGAAATAAGTAAAAACACGGCTAATGACAGACTTATTGAAACGAACCCAAGTTATGCTTTAACAACTTACAACATGGTAGCCTTTATTTACAACAAACAGCCCAGCAGAATCTGCTCTCTTAATAAGCTCCTCCAACCATGTTGGAGAGGTCATCGAAGCTCCACAGCCCCATTGTGTTCCCATCATCCTGCGTTGTTGTTGTGGTGGTGGTTTCTCCGTTAAGTAGATTCTCAAGGGAAGCCTCCCAGCCTCCTTCCATATATGGCATCTGAAGATAGTTATCAAACCCAAACAGCTCCTCTCCCTCGGCGGAATTCCCTTTGTTCCCTTCCTGGGGAGGAACCTTAGCACCATCAGAATTATTAAACTTCTGTTTCTTGCTGGGATTAGCATCCTCCTCTCCGAATGCAGATTGGTTGAACTCAGGCCCAGCTAGAAACACAGACGAGATCTCGGGGGTCCTTGGGGCGCCCTGTTCGGTCCATCCAAAATCAGAAAAATCAAAGGAATTGCTCCCCTGATCAGAACTGAAGTACATGGGAGCACTGGTGTCAACAGCAGACTTGACTCCAGCATTTCCATTTGAGGGCAAGGTGTCCATATTCCCGAGCTGGTCCAGTGATGGTTTCTCTTCCACGTAGTTCATAGAGTTGAAGAACTCTTGCTCAGCATACTCCGAGTAACCGGCATCCAATTTTGGGATTGCCTTGGGAACTGATTTCTGAGCTTTGCTCTTTGTGGAGAGCTTAGATGTAGCCGAACGTGGTGCTGCTTCATCAGGAAAGTTCACCTTAGCTTTCTTGCCGCGGATTCTACGTGCCTCGGCATCATAAGCTCTTGCAGCTTCTTCAGCAGTGTTGAATGTGCCAAGCCAGACACGAACTCCTTTACTGGGATCACGAATCTCTGCAGCCCATTTACCCCATGGACGCTGTCTGATCCCCCTATACTGGTTTTTCCTCTTTCTCTTTGCAGATCTTTCAGCTTGACCACTGAATTCCACTGACTTCACCGCTGTAGAGCCTTCAACAAAATTAAGAACAAACGAAAAACACAGATTCATCAGCAAAAAGCAAAGGTAACATCTTTGGACTTTTAGAGCTTCACGAATTAGTTTAAGCTATCAGCATGTGCACAATCAATCATACAGTCAACAGGGATGCCATAATAGCAACGAATCTGTCAAGCATGACAGACCCAAAACTTCAGTTGAACAAGTCAATTATTACCGCAATAATAGCCAAACTGAGTTTTGCTGTCCTAATAACAATATCAAATGTTTACAGGCGAGGATTAAAGACGGAAAAAAAACTTTATATCCATAGCGTGTGCCCTATGCATATAGCAGAGATCCAATCAGCAACGATTCAATACCAAGTTCCAATGTTTAAGGCTGCAAACAAGAACACAAATCCAGGAGTTTGAAAGATGTAAACATAAATTTGCCTACGAAAAATTCCTTTAAACATGAAAACTGCAAGGGTTCCACACAAAGCTATGGTAGCGTTATTTACTACAGTGGTACAAACGTAAAAGGCAAAAAAGGAAGAAGAAACTCTGATCTGAGATCGTGAAACTGCAGACACCATGCTCTTCCTCCAATATCACCCAGAAAAAAGGGAGGAAAATAAGGAAAAGACGACAAGTAGAGAAGCTTTTCACTCAGCTGTAACCCAAACAGAAAGCTGGAAACTTTATCAAAAAGCAAGTTAAGAAACTTATCAATACCACAACCCAGAACTCCAATTAGCCACATCATAAACACAATCTAAGCATTTCCCCCCTAAACCAAGCTTGGATTGACTCGATTAGACGCCTAGAAAGTAAGCCAGCGATCCCGAAAACCCGGGGAAAAGAGGGTGCGCGATTAATTACCGCGGGAAGCGGCGGAGTTGCGAGGCTGGGGAGGAGGTGCAGCAGAGAAAGCAAACGGCTTGACATCGGCCAAGGCATCAACATCACAGTCGTCCTCATCGACATCGGAATCATCCTTGAATCCCTGGAAATCGGCCTCGAAATCTTCGTCGAGATCTATGACGACGGGCTTGGAGTAAGGCTTATTGCTTTTGAGTGACTTGGACTTGAGATCGGGCCAGAGGAAGTCGGCGGTGAGCTTCCTGGAGGAAGCACGGCCACCGCCAACGGTGGCAGGTATGAAGTCGGAGATGATAGCACCGCCACACATGGTGGTTGTTGTCGCCGGCGAGAAATGGAGGTGGGTTTTGGTGCTAGATTTTCAGGTGAAATGAGATGGGAAATGCTTGGAATGAATACTGAAACTGGAATCTGTTGTTGGGTTCTTGAGAGGAAGAGAGAGAGAGATGTGATTAATTGTTTTGTGTTTTGTTTTGATGGAAGGAAGGAAGAGTGGGTTTTGGTTTGTTTTGAGACGCTGCTGCTGCCGCGGTTGGTGGTGAGTAAAACGTTAATGGGAGAGGGTGCCACTTGCCAGGTTGCCGGATTGGGTTATGCGGTGAAGAAGACGACAAAAGTAGGTGGAAGTTACGATGCTAACCCTTCCTTTATTTAAGGACAAATTTCAAATTTAGTCAATGGTTTACTAAAACGTGTCATATTTAGTAATTGAAAAAAATTAATATCAGTAATAGTCACTAAGTTTAGTAAAACATGTCATGTTTGGTCACTCTCCATTAGTCTCCATCCAAATTCGTTAATTGAGTATGGTAAGTGCTGACTCATCAAAATAAAACCCGACCTGCCACATCATTAAACCCAACCCAACCCCTTATCTTATTCTATATTTCCACAAAAGCACATGAGAGATCCATAATTTATCAGTAAGAAATTGACCTTAACTGACAAGACGCGTTTTAGGGTGAAATGGAAGAGTTATTGTAAGAACTCTAAAGTTAAACATGCTTAGCATAGAGCAATGCAAGGATGGGTAACCTCTCAAGAAGTCAGCTTGACATGCACCCCAAGGTAATAACTATATGGATCTAGACCCAAAACGGACAATATTTTTGGCTTGTGAACGTTCGAAATGTTATAAGTGGTATCAGAGCCTCTCGACGTCCATATTGGGTGATAGTGGGGCAAACCCCAACGAGAACATTGAGTCCTTGAGGGGGTGTATGTAACCACTTAGGCAAAACTCGTATCGACGAAGCACACAAAATATCCATGATTCATAAGTAAGAAATCAACATGAACTGAAAAGACGCATTCTGAAGGTGAAATGAAAGAGTTAGTGTAAGAACTCTGAAGTTAAACATATTCAATATGAAACAATGCAAAGATGAGTGTTCTCTTAGCAAGTCATTTTGACTAATTCACCGTCGAACTATGTGACAATGGAGTCATTTTGATCTGTTGTCCATAAAATTGATTTTGTTTCTTCTCCTTTTACTCTCTGATAATAATAATTATTGCCTCATGGACAGGATGGCAATTTCGATCTGACCCGTTTTACTCGACCTGTTTGGTCTGTTTTGGGGAGGGGCAGGCATGGGTACCGTCATCGACCCGACCTGCCCTGACCCGCCCCATTCTCGATCCTTTCTTGACTAAATTAAATATAATTTTAGTGAAATTACTTCGAATTTTTCTTTTATTACATCATATTTTACCTATAATAAAGTTGTAAATTAGTGAAAATCTCAATTTCTCTAATAATTTAACTACATTTATCATAATATTGTTTGTTTTCTTGGTTTTATAATAAAAATAACGAATATTTTTAATGTTTTTTATATAAATTACACACTCATTGAATCGACCTACCCCAACCCGCAACCCGTGATAAATTACCTGACCTGAACCTGACCTGCCACGGGACGAGTCTGAATACCAAGATACCGTCCGGACCTGCCCATTGCCATTCCTCCTCATGGACGGCTTGATTCTTTAATTTTTTTTTTATGAATAATAACATGATATGATGAGTTGCTGATGTTTGAGTTCCCCTTTTCCTTGTCATTATACATAACCTCTTTTGGGCGGAATTTCATGATGATCAATACGATGATGTATATTTTTGTCAAGGATCCAGCTAGCTCGCTAGCTAGCTTCTTGCGTATCAATCCTTTTATCTCCTTCTGCTCCTTTTACTAGGCCTAGTGAACTTGTTTGGATTGGACTCTTTGTGTCCAAATTTGACTCTTCATCATCGTCACCATGCACGCGGCATCATTGGCGGTGCTAGGGGTGGCCACCCCAGGACTCGACGCATCCCTTCTCTTGATCCGGAGTTAGGATAAATTAGTCATTCAGTCTAGTGTTATTTTATAATACGATTGTGTATAACTAGAAAAATTATTCAAAATAACATATTCGAATCACTACTCTAAATTTAGAATAGAAATTCTAGCCTCAAAGGTTTTTCGTCGAAAAAAACAGTGAAAACTAAAAAATTCTAAAGCGTAAAAGACTAAAAGAAATATGAGGTTTGTTCCCTTGAAAATTAGGGGTGGGCAACGGGAAACGGGTATTTGGGTATACCCGTACCCGTCCCATTTTTTAAGGGTTATGGGTACCCATATTACCCATAATATTATAAACGGATGGGACTTGGAATTGAACATTCCTAATATGGGTACCCGCGGGTTACCCGCGAATACCCGTTTGGGTAATATGGGTACCCGTTATACCCATTCAATACAAATGCAGAAATTTAATTCAGACCAACCCAATTCAAAATCCATTGGCCATTTCGACCCTTACCCTTTCAATTTCAATTCCATTTGGGCCCTTACCCTTTCACTCTTTCACTGACATGTTTGATGAATTTTTTTTTTATATAATTTGATACTTGGAATGATTTATTTCTATGTGTTGTGATTGTTCATGAATGTGTAATTTGCAAACCAAGTATTTGTGATTGGGATGTATTTTGTGTCTTGTGATTGTTAAGCAAATACAAGTTAAGTTTAAACTTTTGTTAAAATTTTAGTGGTTTAAACTTTGGGTATTTATGGGTAGTATGGGTACCCGTTATCCGTCCCGTACGGGTAATGGGTACCCGTTATCCGTCCCGTACGGGTAATGGGTACCCGTTTCCCATATGGGTTTGGGATATGGGATGGACTTTGTTCTCCAAATGGGACTGGGTACCCGTTTAAAACGGGACGGGTATCCCGTCCCGTCCCGTTGCCCACCCCTATTGAAAATTTACTGGAGCAACATGGTGGATATAGGGATGGACATGCACACAGTGCAAATTTATTGATTAGTCAATTGATTTGTCTAGTGTTGATGCTGCCCATTTCAACAGCTACCACGAAGAGAACATTTTCAACAACGAAACATGTGAAAACAGATTTGCAAACAAAATGAGAGATGAATTTCTCGCCGATTGCTCAAGTATTTTATTTGAAACATAGTTGTCATGTATGTAAACTCCATTATTGATGCATTCGCTAAATTAAAAGACCGTCGTGTACAATTGACATTGTAAAAAAAACTATAATCATTTTTTTACGATTTATAATTTTCTAATGAAATGCGGCCCAATACTCTACTGTGTTCTGGATCCTCCGTTGCGCGGCATAATTCCAACTAATGAGTTGATCAGTTACGTTTAGAAATGGAAGGAAAATTCTTTAAAAAAAACAAAGAAATTGAAGGAAAACACGATGGAGGGGAGGGAGTAACGAGTCTACTCCAATCCAAACCCTCCAACAGTAAGCAAATAATATATGCACATTATTTATATATACGATGGTAAAACAAGTCTTTTCATTGTTGAATCGCTTCTTGATCGATTATTAATTATTTCTTTGTTTTATTTTGTAATTTGACTTGTAAGGTCCTTGTATATACTCGGTATTTTGTTATTTTTCATTTTTGGATACCTTTGGCAAAAAATAAAAGGTGGAAGGTAGTGATGGCAACAGCGTGACGAGTAATTCAATATCCATATTCGTCCCATATCAAGCATGGATAATTTAGGGTAATATTCGTACGAGTACGAATTGGCAGGTCGGTCTATTTTTATATATTATTTGAAGATTTTTTTTATTTTTTAATTATAAAATAAAGAGGAAAATAGTTCATAAATTAAAATTAGAGATAATATGTAGATGAATTGAGTCGGGAAAGGTGAAATTTTGTACTTATTTAAAGTATCATTAGATGAAAATATAAATTAAAATAAGGAAGAGTAAGAGAAAAAATTCGAAATAAATCAAGATAAAAAGTGTTAAGAAGGAAGCTGAAAGAGGCGAGACAAAATAAAAATATTACTCATGCTCAAATCCACACTACTACGTGTGGAATATTAACCCTCCAACACAAATATGATAAGATAATACTCGAAGAACGAATTCAAATTGCATCACTAATCAGGAAATGTATACTAATTAAGAAATACATTCAATAATATATTGTTGTATTATATGTTAATCAATCGATGGAGGAGAGAACTAAAGATGCCGATACGTGGGGGATAGATAGTGCCAGGCACAGGCAGAGAGTAGAGAAGGTGCATGCATCTCCGCCTTATATTCCCGTTTTCATTTCTTCTTCTCAGCGATATAATAAAAAAATTGTTATAATATAATACTGCAACTGGATTGATTAACTAGCTAAACCCACCAGCTACCTTTGCTTCTCGTTGTCGTCGTCTTCCTTGCTCTCTTACGCCTCATTTACTATTGTTAATCATCATATTATTGTATTTTCATTGGGCGTGTGTGACAATAGATCGAACGGAAACAACATGGGAGCAGTTAGCATATATACTAACACCCAATTTGTAATAACGAGGCTAACTAATTAAGGAGGAATACACGTGTCATTATAAAAAAAAAATAAGGGAGCAAATGTGTGTTATGGATTAATTTCTGGTCTCGTAACGTACCACAAATATCATGCATGAAGCAAACCACAAACGATATATCAGAAACAAAATAAACCATACCATACCACAAATATCATTAAGTAGCCCGAAAAACTTACAAGCAGACTAGAAACCTCGCCGCACCACTAAAATTCGTAAAGCATACCACAAAACTCAAAGCAGACCACAAGTTCTCTGAAACAGACCAGAACCTCGTAAAGTAGACCACAAGTTCCTTGAAATAGACTACAAGATTATGAAAACAGACCACAAGTTTCTTAAAACAAGGTCTCCGAAGCAGACCAGAAACCTCATAAAGCATACTACAAGTTTATTAACGCATACCACAAATTTCTTGAAATATACCAGAAATGACATTAAGCAGAACACATGTTCCATGAAGCATCCTAGAAACCTCATTAAGCAGGCCACAAGTTTCTTAAAACAAAGCAGAAAACTCATAAACTTGGACGTATTTGTAAAATTTAGAAATTTTAGGTATCCATGTAAGACAATAAAACATTTTAGATACTAAAATGTACTTTTCCATCAATCTATTTAGGACATAATAAAAAAATTAGTTTTAGGTAATAAATTTTAAAATATACTAAGTTTAGGTAGCAAACTGTATTTACATATGAAACC